TAGGTTGATGTTCCAACAGGATGGTGCCCCACCACATTACGCACTACGTGTTCGACAATATTTAGATCAGACGTTTCCAGATCGATGGATGGTAGAAGAGGTGCCATTGAATGGTCCCCAAGATCGCCAGATTTATTACCTTTGGATTTCTTTATCTGGGGTCATTTTAAAAAGCAAAATCTATGCTACTCAGCCAACATCATTAGAAGACCTGCGACAAAGAATTGTGAATGAGTACCTTCAAATTACTCCTCAAATATTGCAAAATGTGCGGTTACGTTTTGAGCAAAATCTTTATTATTGCAGGAGAGTCATGGTGGCCATTTTCAACATTTACTTGCCTAACGGGTGAGTTCATTCTTCATTTTTAAATTACTCTGCTGCCAAATGTATTGATCTCCACTAATGATGATGTATTAGTTTTATTTAAGCTTTAAATCTTCAAAACTACTGAACTGAAGTGCATTAATTTTATATCATTATAAAGGGAATTGAAAGACCTTTAAAATAAGGTATCACTCGACCCCCTTTTCCATTTAAGATTTTGGGGGTTAGAGGCTTAGAGGGCCGCACGTGCTAACGTGTTTTTTTGCCAAACTTGTGTCCCCCTCGAAAACAAAATCGACGGGTCTCAGCGTTTAAAAAAAAAACTGAGCTGCCAGTAAATGCGTCTGTTACGTTTTCGATGCGCCACCCTGTATATCATCAAAGCAGTCACAATTATTAAAACTAGGGCTTTAATCGGAAAATAGCTTAAACGTTTTCTTAAGAAACGTTGTTAGTTTGTTTAACTGAACGATTTCTCAAGCATTTGAAATTTTTTTTCGTACAAAACATTTTGATCCGTTTGAAACTATAATTCTTTTTAGTTTAGTTCTTGAATTCTCATTAAAATCCGCAACTTTTGTCCAAAAACATTTTCGAATATTGATCTTATCTACTTTTACATCAAAACTATTGGAATCGGAATCGAAATCATCGGAATCTCATTTCGAATTGAGCCAGTTTTAGTTAACAGTGGCGTACGATCCATCGAAATCGGAATCGAAACTACCAGGATCGGAATCGAAACATCGGAATCTTATTCCGAACCGACACAGTTCTAGTTAACATTGGTGTGTGATCCAACGGAATCGGAATAGAAATAATCGGAATCTCGTTCAGGGTTGACACAGTTCTAGTTAACAGTGGTATACGATCCATAAAAATCTCATTCCTAATTTACCCAGTTCTAGTTTATAGTGGTGTACGACCCATCGAAATCGAAATGGAAACCACCAGAATCGTAATCGAAATCATCGGAATCTCGTTCCAAATTGATCCAGTTCTAGTGTATAGTGGTGTGCGATCCATCGAAATCGGAATCGAAACCACCAGAATCGGGATCGAAATCATCGGAATCTCATTTCGAATTGAGCCAGATTTAGTTAACAGTGGTGTATGATCCGTCGAAATCGGAATTGAAACCACCAGGATCGCAATCTAAACATCGGAATCTCATTCCGAACTGACACAGTTCTAGTTAACAATGGTATGTGATTCAACGAAATCGGAATAGAGATAATCGCAATCTCGTTCAGAATCGACCCAATTCTAGTTAACAGTGGTGTATGGCCCATTCAAATCAGAATGGAAACACCAGCATCGGAATCGAAATCATCGGAATATCGTTCCGAATTGACCCAGTTTTAGTTTATAGTGGTGTACAACCAATCGAAATCGGAATTGAAACCACCAGAATCGGAATCGAAATCATCGAAGTCTCGTTCAGAATTGATCCAATTCTAGTTAACATTGGTATACGATTCATCGAAATCGAAATAGAAAGCACCCGAATCGGAATTTCGTTCAGAATTGACAAAGTTCTAGTTAACAGTGGTGTACGATCCATCGAAATCCAACACGATACTACCATAATCGGGATCGAAATCATCGGAATCTCATTTTGAATTGAGCCAGATTTAGTTAACAGTGGTGTATGATCCATCGAAATCGGAATTGAAATCACCAGGATCGGAATCTAAACATCGGAATCTCATTCCGAACTGACACAGTTCTAGTTAACAATGTTGTGTGATTCAACGAAATCGGAATAGAGATAATCGCAATCTCGTTCCGAATTGACCCAGTTCTAGTTTATAGTGGTGTACAACCAATCGAAATCGGAATTGAAACCACCAGAATCGGAATCGAAATCATCGAAGTCTCGTTCAGAATTGATCCAATTCTAGTTAACAGTGGTGTACGATCCATCGAAATCCAACACGGAATACAAGGCACCAGAATCGGAATAGAATCGGAACCACGTTCAGAGTTGACCCACTTTTAGTTAACAGTGGTGAAGGATGTGTTATATAATCTCCTCCGTTTTGGTTCCCAAGTATCAAAAAATATAGAGGACGACGATAGTGTGCGAAAGGTACACAGGCGCTGTGCTACTTCGGATTTTGAGCAACGTAATAATGCCATTTCCTGGTCGTTAATCGTAGCGTAGTCTAGTTTCAGGTCACGTCCGCCGAATGTTCTACGGAATCAGCGTAAAAATACAAATTTAATATCGGGACCGTTGGCCGTCGGTAGCTCGGCGCTCTGCAGCTTTGCCGCTGAATCCCCACCCTTCGCTCTAGGGCCCTTGGCCCTTGGGGTCAACCTACACAGATCGGAGGACGACACACAACGGACAACCAGATTATTATAGGCCAAGGAAGCATCATTTCAATTTCCACATACATTCAGTGTCGATCTGCCAAAGGGAATAAATGAAAGTTTTATTATTGCTCAACAAGTGAAGTATAGAGCGAGTGGAAGAGTATCTTGAGGTGAACTTTTCCTGTTTGGGCATATTTATTTTGCGGTACTTATTTATCTTGCATGTATCTTTCATTAGCAAGCCAAAATAATGGCATTATAGTTTTTCGACAGTTAAAGGGTGCACACATTTTTTGTGTGTGGTGCTCAAACCTTATTAGTTTACGCGATTTTTTTGAATTCTAAAATGTATGACGCTTAGAACGTTCTGTAACTGAATTTTTCATAAACCCAGCTAATCGTATATATATATATATATATATATAGAGAGAGAGAGAGAGAAAATGATCATGCGGAGAAAGGCATATAACAAAAAATGGGAAAATAATGGGCGAAATCCGCTTTCCTTCTTTTTGCGGATTTTGCCCATTATATTCCTATTTTTTATATATATATACAGGGTGATTTTCACAAGTCGTGACCAAAAATGAAACACAGGACCGTATTTTAAGGGGGGTCTTCTATGTAACATTTTTTCCTCGACGACTTCATTAAAAAGAAGTTTAAAGATAAAAAACACTTTTTATAGTATTTACTTAAAATTAACGTGCACCAGTGGCGGAGATACAGGAGACACAGGGAAAAGAAGCCATCGAGGAAAAAATGTTACATAGAAGACCCTCCTTAAAATGCGATCCTGTGTATGATGTTTCATTTTTGGTCACGACTTGTGAATCACCCTGTATATCTATATTAAATATTTTTCAACGGATGCAACAATTTCCATACATTGCTTGGCCTATCCGTCATTCGCACTAGGCCCTACGCTTTCTGCCCTTAGGGCGCACTTACACAAATCATGGATCGACCAGCTAGACCACCGGATTATTACTGAACTCCACTTTCACACGGACCTGGCCAAAACAAATATTTATAAACACAGTTTCACTGATACGGTTATAGTGCCAGGCGCCAAAGATACTATAAAACTAATCGGAATCAGTTAACAAAATTCTACGAGGGTGACTCTGTACGTAGTGATACTTGTGTAATAATTTCCCGAAAATCATGAAATGCTTTATTCATCAATTATTGAACTTGTTGATGTGTAAGAAAATTAAGCTCGAACCCGGTCTGTAGCTTGTCGTTTTCCCATCAGTGACACATCGTGCTTTTCACCTCGAACGTTTTTTTTTTGAACTGACAAAACATAATAAAATTAGTGCTTTATATCTTTGCTCACTATACCGTATCATACTTGATTCTCTTCATGCGTAATTTTGCTGGTTACGCCACGATGTGTGCATCACAGGTGACAGAATCGAAACTAACAGAATCGGAATAGAGATCATAGAAATATTTTTATGAATTGACCAAGTACTAGTTAACAGTGGTGTATGATCACACGAAATAGAAATCGGAAGCACCAGAATCGGAATCGAAATCGTCGGAATTTCGTTCAGAATTGACCCAGTTCTAGTTAACAGCGGTGTACGATCCATTTAAATCCGAATCGAAACGACCAGAATCGGAATCTGAATTGTCGGAATCTCGTTCAGAATTGACGCAGTTCTAGTTAACAGTGGTGTACGAACCATTTAACTCGGAATCTAAACCACCAGAATCGGAATCGCGGTAATCCAAATCTCGTTCAGATATGACCCAGTTTTAGTTAATAGTGGAGTACGATCCATCGAAATCGGAACCGAAACGACTAGAATCGGAATCGAAATTATCGGAATCTCATTCCGAATTGACTCAGTTCTGCCACCAGAATCGGAATCGAAGTGATTGGAATATCGTTCCGAATTGGCCCAATTCTAGTTAACAATGGCTTACGATCCAACTAAATCGGAATCGGAACCACCAGAATCGGAATCGAAGTAATCAAAATCCCGTTCAGATATGACAAAGTTCTAGTTAATAGTGGAGTACGATCCATCGAAATCGACACCGAAACGACCGGAATCGGAATCGAAATCAGAATCGGAATGCCATTCAGAATTGACCCAGTTCTAGTTAACAGTGGTGTGCGATCCATCGAAATCAGACTAGAAATAGCAGAATCGGAACCGAAATCATCGGAATCTCGTTCAGAGAACAAAAACGAATCAGAATCCGAGCGAACGCGAAGATACGTCTTGAGCTGATTATTTATTCAATTCAGAGTCGCGTTTTTTATTGTTGAACTTTTGATAATTAAATACAGCACTTACAAAAAAAAGCCATTAAAATTTTCATGGATAACTCACCTGTCTTGCGGTGGTCTCCGACAGAATTTTCGCGATATCTCTGACGGAATTTGCTGTTTGATCGGTGAAGGTGCCATTTGACAAAGACGAGTCTAGAAGATGAATAGTTTTGTCGTCTTCTTTGAGATCTTTTTGAAGTTGCTCTAATCTTGACTCGAGGGTTTTCCATGCGGGAAGCAGGCTTTCCATTTGGTACAGTTTATCGGTAGCGCTGTAACAAAAAAATTTAATTAAAAACTCTCAGAAATGAGACTTCTCCCGAGAATTATTGCGTTTGCATAATAGTAAGTTTGATCCATACAGTGTGTCTGAAAAGTTTCCACAATACTTTTTCCCCAGCTATTCTATGGTGACATCAAGGTTATTTGAAGTTCAAGTAGATTTTTTTTAAATGAAACCCTTCATTTTTGACCCCGTAAATGTCGAGTGAAAAATTTTACATTCAAATATGGACTTCTCATTCTTAAATTTTGACATTAGGCGGTCATGGCCAAGGTCAAACCCAGGTACGGAGATACGCGGAAAACTACCGAGACATTAATTTCATGATTTTTCCCGGAAATCCAATCGTGAGCTTAGATTCCAGTTTAACCATGATGACCTTCAAGGCCATATGGTCAACTCGATTTTTGTAGCCAGGAAAGAATTCTGAAAGAAAAGTGAAGTCAGCTTATCTGGGTATTACACTTTTCTGAATCATCAATACCTTGATGGTCAGATCCAAGGTCAACTTTCAAATACGTTCAGGAACAGACTCGAATATCCTCTTCCTTTCCGTGGTCAAAAATATAGGGTCAAATTAAAAAATAATTGACCTCCGAATGACCTTGAATGTCATGGCCAAGGTCAGATCCAAAGTCACCAAATCAGGGGGAAAATCATGAAAAAAAATTTCTCGGTAGTCTTCCTATACGACTACTATCTTTGAAGTTACGTCACCGTACCTGGGTTTGCCCTTGACCGTGACATCCTAAGGTAGAAATTTAAGAATGGTCACGAGCATATTTGATGTAAAATGTTCCTCTCTTTCCATTTATGGAGTCAAAAATGGGGGTTTCATTTAGAAAATCGACTTGACTTTCTAATGACCTTCAATGTGATGGTCAAGCTCAAATTCAAGGTCGTCATTTGATAGTTGGGGAAAACTATCAATGGCGTTTTTCACAAATTACCTTGGGGTTTCGGAATTTTTCAGACGCCCTGTATATGTTTTCACTACTAGACTATCCACATATTGAGAAGAAGCTGTACTTGCTCTAGGTGTATAATGATAACCAAACAGTGGCGGATCTAGGAGGGGTGTCCTGGGAGCCCGCACCCCCTACAACCCCCAACCCCCGAAATTCAACCACTACAAAAAATTTTCTGAAAATGATCAGGGCCCTCCAAAATGTCAATTTTTTTTTTTGATTTTGCCTTTTTTCCTTGGTATAGTAGCAACCTTTTCTGAAATCTTCATAAAATCTCATTTTTGAAATTTTTCGCGATTACAATCGCCCGGTGACGAAGTAAAATGAATTTATATTCCACTCTATTTCTCTGTTTGATTAATTCCTGGTGAAAAGGTGAACTACTTCTTAGCAGCTGACCTAGATAAAATCTGACGTCAAAATAAAAATATAACTTCCCTGACTAGTCCGTATTGCAGTCAGATAGTAAGTGAGATAAAAGAAATTGCATATCCCCTGTATGCATAATAGAATAGACAAATTCATAGGTACTTCAAAAACAATTCACGTTTTAGATGGGTGCAGCTGCCGGCTCGCTGGCAGCATAATGGGAAGTCAGGGTAAGATTTCTACATGGAATACTAATTGTTCAAATATATTTTATATACATGTATAGTTGTATACACATCGTACACTCTCTGGCCAATGTACTTTAAATGTCTTACCTACTACACACGTACATAGTTCGTGAGTGAAATTTAATTTGGCAACCTATTGGAGACATCTCTTCATAAGCTCCAAAGTTCACATAACCTCAAAACATTACGAAAGTAGCAAGGTTAATAGCCTACAAAGTGGTCATTTAGTAGCCGATAACATCGAAGTTTTTTCAATGCGACACCCATTTCTTCGTTTATACTATATTCCATCAAACGGTGATTGACTCAGTGCTCGCGCATTAAAACAGACATCTTTAAAAATTTTACTACGCCTCAATATTTGACTCTCCAACCAGATTTTCATTAATACGTCCTAAAGTTATCAAAAAGTTGAAAGACGTAGGCATCAGTGGTAGACTCCTCGGTCTTCTGATCAGTCGCCGTGCGCTGCGCGGGTTCGAATCCCGTCCCAAGAGAAATGTTTATCTTAGCTATGGATGTTGTGATTGTCCGTGGATGGTAGACGATCTCTGACTGTCGAACGGTACCACCCGGCGAATCTCGTAGGCGAAACCAGAATTTGTGCATGTTGCATGCGCGCGTGTTCCCTCGCCAGAGTCCGTGTGGCGACCCCCCTTTCCCCTGCTGCCCCCTATAGCACCAAGTACTCCATGGGTGTCTAGTTCGTGGTAGTTGGAGTATAAAAAAAACAATCAAGTTTGCGATTTGTTAAACATTTTGACTCTAGAATTTTGTCTGTCTACGTCCAAAAAGTCATCTGACTCTGGAAAAGCATCGAAAAACTAGGTCACCACTGGACCGCTTTCAAAACCCAGGATTTTTTTGTTCTTTAGCATGATTGTAAATTTATCGAAATCCAAGCTGTATTTTCCATGTTAAAACAAACCAGCAATGTTCAGTGAAAACGCATTTTCGATCTTGATTCTGACCTTCCAAGGGTTGAATAAAATAGATGTACTGGTATACATTTCTAAATATGAACAATTATTGCAAATATACCTACCTAACTCTGGCATTGTCAAACAGCTCGTACAGCTCTGATACTTCTATTTTCAATGAGCAGTCGACAAAGTCTTCAGACTCTTGATTTTCCAGCATGAACCGATGTACTATGGCGTTGAGGAAACTCAACTTTGCACGATTGTTTCCGATTGTCTCCAACAGTTGCTGTAACAAAAAAAGGCAGTAAAAATGGTGTTCAGTGTATTGACTCAGTGCTATGTCTATTTACATGTTTAAGAATCTTCGATACGCAAATTTGACTTCCTCTCTAACGAGAGACCGGAAGGTTATCACTGCTTGAGGACACAACAATCTGGTACATTTAATGGCCGAGTTCTACCAAAGAGCCGTTCATTTCGGCTGGTCGGAGTTCAGATCACCGAGGACTTGATCTTGACACAGTAGTCAATGACGACAGCTGCTGGGGAAAAGCTAGGCTACTTGTTTAGGGCTAATAAGTACTTTTCTCTGCAAATTCTCCTAACTCCCTACAAGGCAGAGATAAGATCTAGCCTCGAGTACTGCTCACGTGTCTGAGGTGCTGCCATCCCTACTGATCGATTATTCTTCTCTAACGGACAGTCTTGGGACCCTTTCGTACCAGCGGGCCGTCAGAGATTTATGTCAACGAACTTTGCTACTCAGAGCTCTCCTCCATGATGCCACTAAGCGATGTATCTGCCAGACAGACCCGCCTGACTACGGCCTCTCGTCCTAACCGTGTCGAATTTCGTACATCCAGAACTGGCCGATACGACCACTCCTTTATCCCTAAGGTATCGAGATTATGGCAGTTCCGATTCCGATTAACAAAGTTTCTTTAAGCGGTGTTTAGGCTTCTGCCTGCGCGGCTGCTCCGGTATGAAAAATCATTATTGATCTATATAACTCATAAATGCGGCTTGACAAATTCAAAAATCTTTAGTCCCTTAAAACCCCATTTGACACGAGATGATGAAAAGTAATTTTACTAATTTTCAGACCTCAAACTAGTTTTGGCGACCCAACAATCAATTATGACAGTTTGGGAACGAGTTTACGCTTTTTTTAGTTTTTGACGACACCACCGCAGACCAGTTGGAGTGTGTTACCCATTGCACAGTCGGCCGTGGCCTTGACGACGATGCAGCATCGCGCGATGCACGCAACGCAAACTATTGTAAAGATATTTCGAATTATGAGCACATTATAAATCGGACTTTTATCATTCAATTTTCAAACATATATCTGGTAATGCTTCGTTTAAAGATACAGGTTATCCACACCATAACGAGTCTTGGCGTTACCTCTTAAGCTCCCCTGTATGTCATAACAAGAACCTTCGAACCTTCCTTGTAGCGCGTAACTCAGTTGATGTGCCAACAGACAGTGCGTTTGCGTTTTCTTACATGCAATCCCCAAAGATCGATCTCTGGCACCCCAATACCACCTTTGAATTAGTGAAGATCTTGTTTGCCGCTGGACGTACCCGACGCAATGACTTCGTATTCGCTATTCGGGTCTGATCATAAACTTGAGTAATTTATATACATGTGGTCATCATGTCCAGTGCGGCGTTGCCGATTTCCCGATGCGGGAAAAATGCAAGGTAAAACCAAAAACTGGTTATACCAAGAGACATCGCTGCGTGGAATGTCTTTGAAATCCGCCGACATCCTTCATTGACCTTGTCCCATGAAGACTCGAGGTAGGCGGAAGAAACTGCCTGGTTGTTTCAATGACTGCCTGGAGCAAATCTTGAACGTTCAGTAAACCTCGAATTCTATGGAGGGAAGAATCTTTGTCTTTCAACAAAATATATCATCATTGCTCTATATTCAGAAGCATCTTATTTTCTTACAAAGATAGGAGCGATTCTAGCCCTCCTCTTGATTTTGGAAGATGCGTAGTCTAGTTTGAATTTTCTGAGGATTTGAAACGCCATCTATGAGACGGTAGTAGAATTAAGTAATTATAAAATTTTATAACAGATTTTAAAGAAAGAGTCTTCGTCCAGATCATAGGTACGCAGGATTCCATAAAAACGCTCTGGTTAGGTAAAATGCTTTCCCTTCTCTGCTAAAGCGGTGACGCCAACGTTCGCAGAAACCAATGTCTTCTTTCAACGACGGACAGTCTTGGAAATTCGGTTGCTACAGCTGAAGGAATCCAGCAACCCGCAGTGTTTTTTTGAGTTGAGTGAGCAATTTTGTCGAGTTCGATCATTTGTTTTTCATCTAAGTTTCCTCAAAAATGCCTGTCTTTCCTTATAAATTAGGATAGTTGGCAACAGCGTCGGCGGTCTGTCCAGTCCGGGATGATCGGTCCGATACTTCCATTTGACCGGAAGGACTTTTGAACACTCCCGGGGGAGGGCAATATTCTGTTGACTGCCTCATGAATACGTTTCTGGTGCGCCCTCTCTACAGCTGTGCATCGCATTGCTGGCCATTTGCCTCCCGACGAATAAAATATGAACCGCCTGCCTCTCTGCGGGCGACTTGTGTTCGGTGACAACTCCCAACGAGTTTATCACCGGCCATTGGGATGATGTATATCTACCTTGTACCTGCTAATCTGGAAAACGATCTTACAATGATCGTATGACACTCTGAATTGACCCACTTGTAGCTAAGACATGCTATTTGTTTTTATTCAATTGATAACACTTAAAAAATGGCGTCGAGTAAATCGACTCTATACTTCTTACGCCTTCGCTGGAGGTTTCAGATAAAAGGGATGAGTCAAATCGTTTCAAAAAGAGAAATTGAATCGTGATACGGTAGGTTCACTTAGGTACGATGAATCTTCGACCTCTGTCTAACAGTTGCATAGTATCACTCAGATCAGCAGCTAATAGGTTTTTCATTAACACCAAATATGCAAAAATTTGCAACCATTTATCGCATACAGCTTTCAACCTACAATTTTCAGACCCTCCAAACAATGTCTGAAACATTGTAACACTATGTCCCAGAAATTCTATTTCCACCGCCTCTGACTCAATTTGCAAAATCTGCGACTACCTAAACGATGGAAATGTTAATCTCGCGATAATATTCGAGCTTCTGGTCACAAGTTTTCTGTTTCTACATCACACAAGTCCTTGTTTCTCATTTATGTCAGTCCGTGTCTGTTGTATTTGTATATCAATACGTCATTAGTACTGAGTCAATCTACTTGACAAAATATCCAGAGAACCATCGTAGACGAGGTAACACAAATTAACGATTAGGCGAAATGGGTGGTACGTTGGAGGATCATAAAATTCAGAAAAACATATGTTCAGATATAAAAACAGTCGAGTCATTTACAAAAGCATGGCAAAACGATAATATCCAGATATTGCGAAAATATATAAATATTTCTCCTGTAGCGGTGTGTCAGTGATGACTACAACGCAGGCCAGTTGGAGTTTGTTATCTATTGCACAGTCGGCAGTGGCCTCCACGACGTTGCAGCATCGCGTCGTGCACGCAACGCCAACGATTGTCAGTTATTTCGAATTATGATTTATCGAGTGTTGTCAAACAGGTAAATACCAATTGCTGAAAACTGCGTTTCGGATTTTTGCAGTAACCTGACGATATACAGGATGTGCCAGAAATATCACGCCAGAGTGACACGGGAGGTAGATTGGCTACAGATCAATCAAATGAAATCAACATGACCTTAGTGAAAGTTTTCTAGTTTTCGAGATACTGACACTTTTAAGCTTTTCAACAAATCTTTACTTTTTGTTCATTTTTGACCTGTTATGCCTATAAAGAACTCCTAACTTATGTTTTTTCCTGTGCTACCATTAATAGTTGGTTGAGACAACCGAGTATTCGTTTTACTGAAAACTACCACGGTAAGCTAAAAAAAAATGATTACATCTTGTTTCAATGTGAAAACCTGTACTAAAGTTTGACCAATCAGTGTTAAAAAAAATGTGCCATACTGAATCGGCAAATAATCTTAAAAACCTAAATTCACTCAGATTTTTTGCAACATCATCTACCCATTATTTTTAAAGATGTGTCTCTTAAGACAGGAAGAAGGATGTGGTTACAGAACGATGGATACCCTGCACACTATGCTAGTGCAGTAAGGGGGTATCTTGTGGAACATTCCTAGAAGATGGATTGGCTGGCTACCCAGACCTGAACTCTCTGAATTTTTTTTAACTGGGGATGTTAAAAAGCAGAATATTCGATCTAAGTTTGAGACGTTTAAAAGGACAATTTTTAAGAAAATGTATGAATCGGTGGTAGACATTTTGAAAATCTGGTGTGAAAATAATAATAACAATCATTTATTTCAGGCAATATTTACATTACAAGATGTTAATTTTATTTGTAGTATTTTGAAAGTATTACGACTTCAATGACAAAAGTTGAAATTATTTAGTTTTTAGTAAAAAGGACCTACACATGTTATACTTTTTTTAATGAACTAGCTAGTTTTTAAGGTCATTTGCTGACTAAGTTTGAGACATTTTTTTCGCAGTAATTAGAGGAACTTTAGTGAACGCTTTCGCATTGAAACCAAATGTAATAATTTAGTTTTTTTAGCATATCATGCCAGTTTTCAATGATATGAATACTCGGTTGTCTCAACCACTTATTAATTGAAACCCAGGAAAAAAATCATCAAGTTCTTTATAAGCCATAACAGGTAGTAGGGATTTTTTGAAAAAACTTAAAAGTGGCAATAACTCGAAAACTAAGGTCATGTTGATTTTATCTGGTTGATCAGAAGCCAATCTACCTCCCGTATCACTCTGCCATATTATTTCTGGGACCCTCCAAACATTCACCACAGAGTCATTTTTTCGTCATTACAGTGTTCTTAGAACTTCATATTCGTATGGGTCAAATCAATTCAGAAACATCATTGCGTGACTGTCGACACTCAATCAATTGATTTCGCTATTGATTCTAAACTAAATTACGGTAGAATGCTACAGCGTTTTACAACTGGCATACAAATTAGGAAGACATACTGTACTTTACCATGCCTGATGTCAATTCTAAGAAATGCATAGTTTTATGCTTCCCATGGTAACACCAAGCATGTTTTTAGAATTCGTCGAGTTATGACACATGATGCAAAAAGCTTAGTTGCTAAGAAATAAAAAGTCTGACGTTACATTCTGACAGGTCTGTCGCGCGAAGGTATTATCGGTTTCCAGGTACAAAATA